AAAAAAAAAAAAAAAAATAAGCCAACCCAGCAGCACGTCGGGCAGCTGGGGAGATGCCAGATGGGGAATGGAGTCTCCCCTTGGCAGAGAGGAGCCTGCCAGTGCCCTGGGGAAGCCAGGGATGCACCTGGGGGTGGCAGCCATGCCTCCCAAAGCCTCTCCTTCCCCACAAAAAGCAGCCCGCCAGCCAGCCACGGGCATGGCGGAGGGGGCAGGCAGTGGGTTGCTTTTTTTTTTTTACCTCTCCTGGCAAAAAAAAGAAAAGAAACCCGGAGCGGGGAAGATGAAGAGAAGGCAGGCGGTGCTGAGGCAGGCCCCAAAACCACCCCTCAGTCAGGCAGCGGAGAAGGTGGGTGGCATCCAGCCAGGCCTCCCCTTGCAGGCAGGAGCCCGCCGGCGCCCCGTGGACACAGGCCTTACTCCCGGCCCGGTGCCGGTTTCCCAGGAAACGGGGCCAGGCCTGCCCCCCGCGCCGGGACTCACCTCCCCGCCCCGCGCTCAGCGCAGGCTGCCCCGGGCCGCAGCCATCTTGCCTCGGCGGCTCCGGCCGGGAGGAGGCGGGGTGCTGCGCAGGCGCCTGCCGGGGCCAGTCACATGACTCGGGGCGGGGGAGTCACGTGAGGCCGAGCGCCATGTTGGGGAGGGCAGAGTTGGGCGGCCATGTAGGGGAGGTCCGTTGAGAAGAGAGGGGTTTCCGCCGTCATAATGGGAGGGTGGGCGGCCATGTTGGGAAGGTCAGCTACGGCGAGCGAATGGGGAGTGGCGGTCGTTATGTTGGGAGGGGCCGTTCTGGAGGGAAGGAGATGGAGACACCTGCTTCACCTGTGCAGGGGCTTGGCCTGCCCTGGGGATGGATACGAGCTCTGCCTGAGTCCCCTCTCTTCGAAACAAGGGAGCATCTCCGCAGGACAGCGTTGATCCCCATCCTCTGCTAGGGGACAAGCCAGCGTATGTGCCCTCAGGGATTTCCCCCCTCGGAAACCCCCTGGATTTCTCCAGCCTGCAGCAAGCTGAGCCTTGGAAAGAGCCATCGCTTCTTTGGGCAGAAACCAACCCGGGACCCCCTCAGCCAGAGCCGGCCTTGGATTCTGGGGGTCCCCGAGCAGAGGCCGAAGCCTGGACCCCTCCACATCCCACTCCTGCGCTGGATGTTGCTCTGCTGCTCTGGAGTACGTGGAATACTTTCCGTATCTTGGCAGCCACCTCTCTCAATGAGCTACCATCGGTGAAGAAGTCCAACACCGTGCCAGTGCCGCCTTCTTCAAGCTGCGACAACATGTCTTTGGAAATAGAGACCTTTGGAAGTCGACAAAGCCCTGGTTGTCAAGGCTGTCGTGCTGACCACCTTCCTCTACTGCAGTGAATCCTGGACTATCAACCGACGCCACATTAAGACCCTTGAGAGCTTTCACCAGCGGTGCTTGTGTCGAGTCCTGGGGATCGAAGAGGAGGACCGCCAGATGAGTGCGAGCATCGTCCATGAAGCTGCGTCCACCAGCATCAAAGCCTTGCTCTTGCGAAATCAACCCCAATGGATGGGCCACTGCATCCAGATGGCCGAGAACCGCCTCCCTCGCCAGATTCTCTTTTCCCAGCTCTCCATTGGCCAACGCTCAAAGGGCGGCCAAAGGAAACGGTATAAAGACGCACTCAAGGTCATCCTCAAGCACAGAAGCATCGACACCAATGGCTGGAAGGAGCAAGATGCTGACCATTTGGTGCGGCGCCACCTGGTCCGCCAAGATGTGCACCACTTTGAAGCCCAATGACTCAATACTGAGGCGGAATGGCGGTGGCAGAGGAAGGAGACCAACCCGGGGCTGCGAATCCCACTCCCCCACACAACAACATACCTCCATTGCCGAAGAATATGTGCATCCAGAATCGCTCTCCTCTGTCACCTGAGAACCCATCAAGCCTGACAGATGTCATCCTTGACTTCAAGGGACTGCCAACAAACAAACGCTTTTGGGTGATCTGACCCCAGCTGACTTCCTGCCCCTTTGGGCAGGGGGCTAGACCCAACTATCTCACAAGGTCCCTTCCAGCCCTAACATCTATGAAATCTATGTAGATGTGCCCTAACTTAGGCAAGGGGGGCCCTCCCCTGGGCAGTTGCCCGGGTTGTTTGCCCCTGGACCTGTTGATGCCAGCCCAAATGGCTGTAGAGCAGGCAATGCCCACCAGGGGAAAGCAGATTTGAATGGAAACATGGGTGTAACCTTCACTCCCGCCACCACTGCAATCCCGCCCAGATAGGAAGGAAGGGAAGATGTAGCGTGAGTCTTCTCCAGTGCTGTTTCTAAGGTGAACATATTACTGGGGGGGGAAGAGTTCATGTTTCCTTTGCTCCTCCTTTCTGTATTTAATCCTTATGTTACTGGTAACATGATTGGTGTGTCTTATTTGTGGTGAGAAATGTTATGAAGTTTTCTTAACCTTCAGTTCACAACTCGTGTGAATTTCTGGTCCTTTAAAATGAGAAGGGTGGTTCGGTGTAGTCTGAATAGATGTTATCTGGCATGAACACAAGACTATCTGTATCCTGGACAGATCCTGTTTACGCCAAACCTCCCCGCCCCCCAAGCAGGTATGAGTCTTAGGGTAATGTTTTTCAAAATGTCTGAGTGACTTTGGTGCCAATGTTCCATTTTCAGAAGCATCTTGGTCAAATGTGACATAGGTGTGTGAGTGCCTAAGTAGCCTGGAAAATGGGACCTAGGTTCCCAGGTCACTTAGGTGCTTTTGAGGTTTCCCTTAGTCATTGGAAGAGATCCTGTGCCTGAAATATTTGGATAGTGAAGCTGCCCTCCTTCATCTTGGTTTAAGGGATCTGGGTGGAGGCAAAGGCAGAAATGAGGGGATCAAGTCCCACATAGAATAACATTGGTGGAAGCCCTTCATGTCCTTAATCTCAGCTTCAGGGAGAAAATGCTATGGGTTTAAGGCCCATTTATGGTCCAGGCCACGCAAATTCTTTTCCTTCTCTAGAACAACAGTGGAAATAGGTAGAAGCAGCCTCAGGTTGTAGCTGGAGCTGAGCTCCCTATGAATGAATGCTGCACCCTTTTCCTCTGCACCCTGTCAAGCTGCCTGGTGAGGTCAGTGTGGGCAACGGTCCCAAAACCAAAGAGAGGTCAGGTCACCCTGCCCTCTTCCCCTGCTTTCTGTCTTAGTTGCCGTAGTATCTGGCTGCCTTTTCCCTACGATATCTGTGTGTACAGCTGAAGGCTGTTCAGCTATTCTGAACCCTGCTGAGATTTGCAGGAAGCTCCTCGTTGATGGATGGCATCACTGGATCCTGCTGAAAAGAGATGCAGGTAGCTTTGTTCTGCAGTCTCCTTCCCTTCCCAGTAGCTGGATGGCTTCATTGGTTCATCATCCCTGAGGAGCACAAGAATAGCACCGAGAGTACTAGGCATGTCTGAGAGCCCAGAGGATAGGGATCAGAGCACAGACCTAGTAGCGCAGCAGGGCAGGTATCAGCAAGGGAGTTGATTGGAGATGCATTTTGTGGAGACCGCTGAGCATTCAGCTGCTTCTTTATGGCGGAGTTTGTAGAGACCTGCCATCTGCTGGCAAATCATACTAATTGCATTCAGCATCCTTTGATGGTGGGGAAATAAGGGGTTTGAAGTGGAGGGAGATTGTTTTTGAGCTGCCTGGTTAAGTTCCCATTGCTGTCTGAATGTTTGCCTTCTTACACTGCTAGGAGAAATGGATTTCTGGACACTTTTAAAGTCTTAAATTAATGAATACATCCAGTTAAAACGAATCCAAAGAGTTGATCTGAAGTCGCAAGTCACAGTAACAAATACAGGTGAAACAGTGTGTGGGTTTTCCTTTTGAGAAGTCCTCAGTGACATTCATCAAAACCGTTAGTTGGCTGATTAAAGGGTCAAGACAATTTTAGCTTCGTCGTACCTGAATTGCAAGCCCTCGCTAGAAAGTCTCGTCTGATAAGAGCAACATCAAATAGAGACCTAGAAGGGCCTTTGAGTTATGTTCTGTCCCCTAGGCAGGCAGCACAGAAGCTATACCAGGTTTTGGAGCTTAAAGGGCCTGATCCTGTGAGGAACTGAGTAATCGATTCCATGTGCGCTTCACGGGGACTAGAAGACATTTAACATTGTGCAAACTCAGACCCTCCACTCCCCGCCTTCTACCCAGAGCTGTGTGCCCAGCGCTGCTACAAATGTGATTGCTAGCCCTCTCTCATTGTGTTCATTTAAACTCTTCCAAGAGTTTAAAATCTTATAACCACCTTAACATTGTCAGAGGGAAGTAGAGTAAATACAAGCTCCCTTGGCTTCTTTATTTATCTGTCTGGAAAACAGAAGCAGTAAGGGCTTGTAGCATTTAACACTTCTCATGATCCTCTATAGCTGGTAGTCCAAGGCTAAAGAGTGCAGTCTAAAGCCCATTTAAGTCAATAGGTGCGGCTCAACTGATACCAGTGGAATCTGAATCAGGCCCTTCAGAGAGAAAGCAGTGTGCCTGGGGGTTATTGATTGGGTTGATATAATCTTTGTTTAATTATTTTCTAGGCTTGGGGTGAGGAGCTGCTGCTGACTCAGTCTTTGTGGTACAATTATTTTATTGATGGCAAAGGACAGAGATGCTAGGACAGGTTTTTGATGCCGTCAAGCTAGGCAAATAACCAAAAAGGATTATCAGTAACAAAAATCATGCTTAGTAAAAAATTAAGCTTGTGGCAAAAACCTGAATCCTGGATTCTTCCCACATCATTAAGTATCATTTTGTGGGGATCGCTCACCCCAAAATGTACCCACAAGGCAAGGCAGCATCCTGCTGTGTCTGCTTTAAAAGGATGTCATGCACGGCTGTCTGCCGCTGCATGAATGTGGCCATACTGGTTCTGGATCAAGAGGGTGCCAAAAGCTACCTTCTGAACAGGGAGTAGTGTAGCCACAGGGTGAAGCACCTGGGCTAGCTGGATCCAGGAGCGGTGCAGACTGCTTCAGTTCTGTCAACCAGCCAAGACTATCCTTCTGTTGATGGAGTAGCACTGCTGACCACCACGTACTTCATGCATGTAGGAACTTATCCTGTCCTAGCACTGCAGTGCTTTTGTTCTAGAGCGCAAAGCAAGGAAATTAGGAAAGCAGCCTGAAATTGGGCCTAGACACTGGTTTCACTTCTGCCCATACAGACTGGTCTTGTTAACTGCGGCAACCCCTAATAGTTAGTGTGACTTGCCTGAAAGAGAAACAGCACCTCTTTTGGAATAGGCTGGGGCATTTGATCATGGCAGGCTCACTGAACAGCACTTGCCGTCTACTGAATTACCAGCCCCATTATGCCAGGCTTGCGAGCTCTGCAGGTGTCTCTGATCCGAGTACTGACCTAGCCCAGTTCTGCACAGGTTATGAGAAATGATGGAGGCTCACAGCACAAAATGTATAACTACAGGCAAACCAAATTCTTCTAATTTCTTAGCATAAGTGACACTTACAAGGGACAGTCAGGCAAACAGTGTTTACAATAAGTTGCTGTGCTCTCAAGAAAGCGGTGTCTGTCGAAAGCATGATTCAGTGAAGAGCAATTTATTGGCTGAGGTGAGTATCCAGGGAGTTCGGGAGAAGAGCTATTTATACAGACTTTACAATGCACTGAGTCAGTCTGTGTTTTCTCCTTCATTCTTATGGCAGGCAGGATCTCTAGTCTAGATTTCAAGGCTCTGGTGCTACTGTTCGTTGTCAGTGACATGGATTTGTAGCCCTTGCATCACTTAGAGCTTAAGCTTGAAAAAGGAAAGGAAGGAGCTTATAATAGAGAAAATTACAGCATAGGTCAGCTGCCTGTTGAAATATGGGTGGTTTTGTGTGCCTATCTTAAATTGAACTTCCCCTGCATCCAGCCGGATGGGCTGCACTTGTGCAGGATGGCAGCACTCCGTCCCCGCCTGCCCACACCCCCTAGGGCCTTCTCAAGTACCCTCGGGGGTACACGTACCCTCCGTTGACAACCCCTGTCCTAGAGTATAAAAACATTGGCCCTACATGAAGCTTCAGCTGCTCCAAAGGCCCTTCTCAGCATTTTCATGCATATTCCTGGGGTCTGGGTGCCTAGACCTGACCTGGCAATGTGTGTGCTTACAGATTCTGGTTGGCTGTAACCAGAGCAGCAACATATGTGTCTCCAGCTGAACCCCCTCATGGAAATGCGTGCGTTTGCACAGATTCTGAGCGTCCGTAGCTGACATGCATCTACTTGCAACCAGCCTGCTGACTGATCTGGAGAGCCTTTCCAGCCTCGCCCCTCTATGATGTGTGATGTAGGAAGAAGATATTAGAAAAAACTTTCTCAGGAGGATGGTGAAGCAGTAGAACAGGCTGCCCAGAGAGGTGGTGGAGTCTCCATCCATGGAGGTTTTAAAGATCCAGGTAGACGAAGCTTTGGCAGGGATGATCTATTTTGGGCTGGTCCTGCCTTGAGCAGGGGGTTGGATTAGATGTGACCTCCTGAGATCCCTTCCCACTCTGAATTTTCTGTCATTCTACGACCTGACATGCGTGTTCCTGGCGGTTTTAAAGACCTAGCTAGACAAAGCCCTGGCTAGGTTGATGTAGCTGGGGCTGGGGCTGGTCCGGTCCTGATTTGAGCAGGGAGCTGGAGTAGATGTGACCTCCTGACATCCCTTCCACCCTGAATTTTCTGAATTTCTCGGACTTGACATGCGTGTTCCTGGGCCCTGCGCGGGCAAAACACGTGTGCTCAATCACACAGCTCCCCCAGTGTCCACCCCTGGAGCCCATGCGCACTGGAGTCAGCCACCCAGCTCGGCGCAGCCCTGCCCACGTGCTCTGAGCGGAAGGAAGCCGCCGGGAGCTTCCTCCCCAGTGCGCAGGCGCCAGGCGGCACACGTGATTGGCGAGCGGCGCGCATGCGCCCTGATAGAGCGCGCATGCGCGGGCGGCGGGCTGGCGGCGGCCGAGGAGCCTTAAAATGGAAGATGAGGAGGTCGCCGAGAGCTGGGAGGAGGCGGCCGACAGCGGGGTAAGGGCGGCCTCAGTTCCCGCTCCGCGCGCGGAGGCACCGGGGCTCGGCGGCGGAGCGGCCGGGGTCGCCCGGGTTTGACAGCGCCCGACTAGGCCTCTTAAAGGGGCCGCGTCCTCATTTCCTCTGCCCACCCCCCCGGGCTCCTCATGCCCCTGGGCTCCAGGGCGGGGGCTGGCAGGTGCCCAGGACGCCGGTGCATGGCAGGAGTGGTGCCAGCTGATGCGGGGCAGTGATTTCTTCCCTCTATTCAGCACTGGGGAGGCCACATCTGGATTTTTGGGTCCAGCTGTGCCACACCCCTCCCCCCCCCCCCCCACAGAAGGGGGGGGGGGGGTTGGGGGGGGGTCTAGGGGGGGGAAGGGAAAAGG